GACACTGTATATCAAAAGGATGAGCGTCACCGCACAATGATAAAAACATGAAATTTGATTGTACAGTGTGCCGGCATGGTGAATTCTACGTGCTTGGAGTGCACACGAACAGAAACCTTGGAGTAAAATAAACTCTCTGCCTGGGAGTCGAACCCAGCTTTCGCGCGCACCTTTAGGTGCAATGACAGGCGCGTGTACTAACCGATATACTAGCAAAGACGATGAAAACATTTAGAATCTATAATACCTAAACCGTAATAAAATATTACTCCCACGGTCGCAATCACGAAAACCAAAAAGTGTTTGGGCCACCCCAGCGTTTCCTCCAACAAAATGGCGTCTTCCCCGTCCTCTACCTTCATCGACCGCGCCCAGTCGCTTGTCCTCAACAACAAGCGCGTTATACTCGTTGGCACCGCCGCTGCCCTCGCCGTTGGAGGTGTTGCCTACTACGCTTCCACATCGTCACGGCAGCGCGCACCACCCGATGTCGAGAAGGGCGTTAAGAAGGAGAAGAAGAAGGGAAGCAAGCACAGCAAGAAGAAGAAGACCGTGAAGGATGCGGATGGGCCTATTCTCGAGGAGATTGTGCCTCCAAAGCCCAAGGCGGATGTCACAGAGTTGTGTGAGTCTCGTTATAATGCATTGTCCATTTGTGTAGTATGTCTGACTGCAAGCAGTGGATACACCATTGTCCCCGGAGCAGATTGATGGCATGCCCACTGAGGTGAGTATAGCTGACGGGGGCTCGACGGTAGGACTAATGACCTGGCACAGGAACGGACACAACTTGCTGCTACTTTCAAGGAAAAGGGCAACGGAGCGTACAAGGAGCATCGTTTTGCTGAGGCTGCTGTGCTCTACACGCGCGCCATCCAGGTGACGCCCAAGCCTGAACCGGTCTACTACAGCAACCGTGCTGCCTGTGTGTACCGTCTCGTTCTTGTCTGACGGTCAGCTTACCCGTATGCAGGTTACATTAACATGCAACCTCCCCAGTTCAAACTCGTCGTCGAGGACTGTGATGAAGCGTTGAAGGTCGACCAGAACTACGTCAAGGCCCTTAACCGCCGTGGTGTCGCCCTCGAGGGTCTCCAGCGTTATGAGGAGTCGTTACGCGGTACTTTCATTTATTTTCCTGTCCATAAACATCCTAAAACTTTCTGTAGACTTCACAGCCGCCACAATCCTCGACAAGTTCTCCAACCAACAAACCGCCCAATCCGTCGAGCGCGTGCTGCACTCCCTCTCGAACAAAAAGGCCGCAGATATCATGGCCACACGCGAACCCCGCCTCCCCTCCTTCACATTCATCCAATCCTACTTTGCGGCCTTCCGACCCCGTGCGTGCACCCTGTCTAAACTCTCACGTCCCCATCAGCTTACACACATACTATATCAGGTTCGCTCCCGGTGCTCATGGAGGAGACGTCAACGGGCGACAACACCCTGATCCTGGCGCTTCAAGCTCTTGAAGCAGGCGACTACGCACATTCGTTGACATTCGTGAACGAGTCGCTCGATCAGGGCATCTCGTGGGACCAGGGACGCGCCGAGGCGCTTAACCTGCGTGGAACGTTCAAGTAAGAGATTCGTGGTTCATGAATTCGGACGTTGCTTAACAACATGTAGATTCCTCATTGGCGATGTGTCGGGAGCCAAGGAGGGCCTCCTTGCATCTATAGAGCTCGTCCCGAGCTTCACGCAGAGCATCGTCAAGCTCGCCAGTGTACACATGGAGCAAGGGGACGCTCTCGGCGCCTTCAAATGCTTCGACGACGCGATCAAGTACGACGAGAACGACCCGGACATCTACTATCACCGTGGACAGGGTAATTACTTCCACCACTCCCACCCGCCGGTGCTCGCCCACTAACAATGCTCTAGTCTTCTTCATCATGAACGAGTTCGAAAAGGCAGCAGAGAACTACACCAAGTCGACCGAGCTCGACAGCAACTTCGTATTCTCGCATATCCAGCTCGCCGTCGCGCAGTACAAGAACGGCAAAACTGAACAGAGCAAGAAGACATTCGACCAAACCCTCCAGGCCTTCCCCGACCGGAGCGAGCCGAATAACTACTAGTGCGTCCCCCCCTTCCCCCTTCCATATTTTACATCTCACACTCACATCCCATCCTAGCGGCGAGCTCCTCCTCGACCAACAGCAATTCCAATTAGCCCTGACGAAATTCGACCGCGCCATCCAGCTCGAGTCACTCAAGACCCGCCCGAACGTCCTCCCCATAGTCAACAAGGGCTTGTGCCTCTTCCAGGCCTCTCAGGACGCCGGGGCCGCCGAACGGCAGTGTGCCGAGGCGCTCCGCATTGATTCCGAATGTGAGGCGGCGGTAGCGACACTTGCGCAGCTTAGCCTCCAGCAGAGCAAGATCGGCAAGGCCGTGGAGTACTTTGCGCGCCAGGCGGAGCTCGCGAGGAGCGAGCCAGAGCTGGCCAGTGCGTTGACGTATCAATATGTGAGTGCCTTTTTTTGGGGGGGCGGTGTTTTTGGGAGCGGATTGCTGATAATGGATTTTGATTAGGCGTCGTCGGCACAGGCTGAGTTCCTCAAGAACTACCCGCAACCACCTCATCTCAATCCATCCTAATTTCGCCCATATCTGGAGGAAGATACTCGTTAAGAACAGAAGGTCATGTTGGCGAAGATACTGCAGGGATGGTTGGGATTTGCTGCCAGTATTTGAAGTCGGCGGGCACAAGGTTGGGCTTGCCGTTCCCGGTGTTGTAGACGCCGAACGAAGTGCCCTTGAAGAAAAAGCCTCTGCGAATATACGTCAGCCACGCAAATTTGAGGGTGACGGGCAAATACGTACCCAGCTGGAGCGACGGAGAGCGCGACACTATCGATCGTAGCGGGGAAGGTGAACTCCGCGTCGTCGCCTTCTGCATAACCCAAGCTGTACGAGGAGGGCTGGGCGATGACTTTGAACCGCACATTCATGTCGGCCGTGGCGAGCTTGTACCGAGCAATCTGCTGCCTCGTTAATTACTTGTCGAGATGCTAGAGAAGCATCAAATACACACCGTCGTGACCGTCGCGTTCGTCGTAGTCAGCGCCCAAGGGCCGACCTGCTGGTTCTGCACGATCGTCCTCACCACAATATATCTCCCCTCACCTGTCCCATTAACCGCGCCCGTCACCCCGATCTCATTATGTAGCGCGTCCCCATAATACACGCTCACCCCTGCCTCGGCCAGGCTGTCCCGCGGCCTGAACCCATCCAAGCGCGTCTCAAAGGTCTCCTCGTATGCCGTCTGCTTGCGCAGGATCAGCGCAGCGCTGTCGCGGTCGCCTGGCGCGTAGGAGTTCGCGTAGAGACGGAGGTACCCGTGCCGCGCGGTGAGGGAGTGGAAGGGCTTGTAAGGCGTGCGCACGAAGTAGAAGGTGTTGTCGAGGGTGTGGGAGGTGAATGTGTTGTTGTAGGAAGAGAGCGGGGAGACGTCGGTGAGGACTGTGGGGATGTGCTCGGTTAGTGGGAGGCCGCCGTTGAAGACGGGCCATCCGTCTTCCCAGGTGACGGGAAACAAGAACGTCTCGCGGCCTGGGGGTGGTGGGTTGACGTTGACTCTTCATTATACATATTTAAGCAAGAGAAAGGACGTTACCTAGCTGGATGTGGCTGAAATTCCCGCCCTGTGGACGCACGCCGAGGGCAACGCCCCACCACCTGCCGTCTGGCCCTTCTACGATGTCGGCGTGTCCGGTATCTTGGACTGCGTTGGTTAGATTGGCTCCGTTGAACAGGATGGGATTTTTGGGGTTGCTTTCCCAAGGCCCAGAGGGCGAGGGACCACGCTGGATGGTCGACCGGTGGTGGACATCCGTGCCGCCTATTAAATTATACCTAAGTTCCTGGATGGAAGATTTGGAGGGGGGCTCTGGTGTACGTACCTTCCGCAATCAAGAGGTAATATGTCCCGTTGATGTGATAAATATGTGGGCCTTCTGGGCGAGCGGACGCGTCATCGGGTAATGTTCCAGCAAAGATCATTTCGGCAGGTGTAAGGGAGTTTCCAGTGTGAATGTCGATTTTGTTTTGCCATATTCCTGGAAGAAGGATTGATTATTATGGCGCATCGTACAGTTTTTGGGACGGAGCAGACCGTAAATCTTGTCGATCGCGTTGTTAATACCAGACCATGTGGAATACACCTGGCCGTATATCAGGAAAGTGAGCCTCGTGTGTGAGAGAGGCGGGCTTACATCGCCGTTTGTGTCCCAGAAGAGATCAGCATCGTAACCCAAGGAGTCTGCGGTAGCTCATTCACTCTTCTGTCCTTGATAAATTATATCAACGAAGGAGACTCACCAAAGTAGATTGGATCGCTCCATTCGCCAGCAAATATGTCCTTTGTCGTCACAAAGAAGGATCGTGGAAACAGACGGAGCTCCGCTATGGAGAAAAAATAAGCAAACGACCCAGACCTGCTAGATCGACAAACTTACAGGTATAGACGTATCTCGTCGTCGACGTCAAATAAAACGTGCCGTCGTGATATCTTAAACCAGGAGCCCACACACCTAGAAGCCAGAGCGTTATTTAATTGCGCGCATTGTGAAGAATTAAGCTTACCCGCGTCGGAAGGAGTACCCAACAAGCTCAGCTGCGAGGGGCGATTCAGAGCATGGCCAATGAGCTTCCAAGAGACCAAGTCTTTGCTATGGTATATGGGATGTCCGGGGTAATATTCAAACGTAGATGTAGCTATGAAATAATCTGAGCCGACGCGGAGGATGGTGGGGTCCGGATTCCAGCCAGGTAGAATGGGGTTGATCATGCTATGTACTGAGATAGCTGCTTCCGTCATAAGTCAATTTCAGTTTCAAAAGTTAAACTTTTACACGTTGGGCACTGACACAGAATAAAGATCGCGAGGAAACGACTGAGCAGGAAGCATAAGGACGGCATATGTCAGCTCAAAAATTATAACGCGAAAACAGAGCCTTTGAACAAGTTATATAGACGCAGATGCTGTCCCTGCAACATGGTCATATGACGGCGTTGGCCCGCATGCCAAGGTGGAGGCTCGGGCCATAACAGCGGGGCGGCAGAAGAAAGGCGGGCCGGCCCCCACTGGGATGCGCCCATCAACGTATCTCGACATAAACCCATACCTCCATAAACCCATACTCGGCTCTAATTCCATAGGTTTTCGCGGCCCGCACCAACTTGGTTCTCAGAGAAATATCCTTTACCAT